CCAGGTTTACGTTGTCGGCGTTTCTCTTTAAACCTAGTGTTTTTTTTTATGGACGAAAACAGTTGAATGAATCTAAGGTTAAGTGATGTCGCACTTTAGGATCGATTAGAAACGTGTGAATACATACACTATGGCTATACGTTTCACTGCAACTGCCCACAACACAACATCTAAAAACTCTCTCAAAAAAAAAAAAAAAAAAATAGACAAAAAAAAAAGAAAAAACGCCGACCGAAAAATGTATATCGTTTAAAAGTATACTACTGAACGACCAGTGTTATTACGGCTCAGGGGTATGACTTCCTCTCACATTTTGTCATTTGGTGGCGCACTTTCGGCGAGATCCGGAAACAGTTGACCGTTTCACGATACAACACGAGAAATATCCCAAATTTACTTGGATACGAGTAATCATTTTCAGCAAAAAAATCAATAACTACCCTTTTCAGTGGGACACAGATCTAAAATGGGAAACGTGAGGGTGGGCATTGCACAGGCACTTTAAGTAACTACCATGAACCAGTTAATTTTCACTGCTAATGAACTCATGATTTTATCACATTCGTATTCAAAATTTCACACACAGTTTTGTTTCGGAGAACCCCAGAGGAATTTTCAGTGCTACAAAATTTCTTGATTTTCAATGACTGGCGGAATTTGGAAAAATTTGTCTCTTGCTGCCCTAAAGTGGCTTACAGTATTGAAGATAGCTAGATGCTTTTGGCAACTCAGGTTGATGCTTTTCTGGATTCAGGATTTCAAGCCATTTATAGACATTTGATGTATTTTTAGTTGATACATGTTCGTCTCTTTTTTTTCCCCATTTTGGTTCTGGGTTTATGCTATTATTATAACTAGTTGGTATGTTTGTTCTGAAATAAATTATTTTAAATACTTAATTGTATAAATTTGTGAAAATCACGAAAAATTGGTGTACGTTAGTCATCTCTTGCTTCGGGTTGTACATGGCTATTCAAAAGCTTTACAGCGATTTATGCAAATTCATACCATCAAATCAAATACTATTCTGGTATCAGATCTTCAAGTGGGCATGCATGGACGTTTTTGTGCAAATACGCCGCATCATGGGACGGGACCTTGATGTACATACGTACATAAAGAGATTGGAGATATCAGACTGGCACACCTTAGTTCACAATTCTGTCGTTAAAGGACTTCACATTTCACAATAACTTGTTTTAATTATGGTATAGAATTTGTTTGCAGCTTTACAAGCTTGCCTCTGTGTGTAAAATAATTTTTATACTTATTAATAATATTTTTTTTTTTTTTAGGTGTACCAGATTTCCGTATGAATGGACAGAAAGTGTTCTCTGGAGCTCAGGACGAACAAGCATTTCTGAGAATGTTTGAAATCATTGCTGAGAAGTTTCCCCTGAGTAGTGATAACCCGTCAGCAAGCATGTGAGACAATGCCTCTCCCTGACTACCATCTTACTCTAAATAATTAGATTTTTTTTAAAAATTCATATTAATTTCAGTGCTATGCTTAGTGTAAACATGAATCATTCATCCTGAACTTGATAATTAATTATGATACCATTGTTAATTACTAACTAAAATATGCCACACCCTCTGTTCTCGTGCACACACACACAGAAGAGTATTAGGAAAAAGCAAAGTGTGTTTTTTTAAGTAGATTACTTTATGCTAGGGATCAGAGCTGAATCTTTAAAAAACACACTCAATGAAACCACATAGAAAAATCTAGTCCTCAATAAGGTTTGTCCTCTGAATGAGCTGAGAAGTCGTATTTCCATACCTCTTAAAAGCACACGCAAAAACGTTTTCACTGGATTCCCAAACCCAGTCATTCATTCTAACCCACTAATCCTTTATTCTAAGTCCCTCATACTTGACAAGCTCATTCATACTTTTAGACTAAAATCCCTAAATCTAAAACAATATCCCTATTCCATAAACATCTAATGAGCTGAACACTCGTATTTTTATACCTCTCAAAAGCACACACAAAAACGTTTTCACTGGATCCCTAGACTCAGTCATTCAGCCTAATCCACTAATCCTTTATTCTAAGCCCCTCTTACTTGACAAGCTCATTCAGACTGTAAGACTAAAACCCCTAAATCTAAAACAATATCCCTATTCTATAAACATTTACCACTGAGCCAATAATACCTATTCTGTCTGTACCAAGAACCCCGCTATTTTTTCATCATACATCGCTACTCCTTAGAATTGAATTTTGAAGGAATCTAATTGCTTAGAGATCAAGCACTTCTTATCCTGTATCTATATCTTTCATAGATGTGTAATGTCACCAGCCAGGTTGCCATAGTGTAGCCATGGATTCTCACCACAATTAAGGAATCTTCCCCTAAAAAAAATCCTGTGAAAGGTTCCAATAGTTTAACTATGTTTAATTGTTATTAAAATACTGTATAATATTTATTTTTTTAAATAAAGGTATAATTATTAGAGAGCTGGCAATACCAGGATATTTTTCACAGAAACAAATGCAGTTTATGATAGTTGTGTTGTAAATTATTTATAAAACAACATGACTTGATAGGGTGTCTGCAGTCTCAAGTTGATGAATGACTGGTATTGTCAGCTTTCTGTTTTTAATATATTTATTATCGTAGTTTATACTACCTCACTCAGAGTCTCAGATATTTATGATATGTAATCAATTAAAAATTACTAATAAATGTATTTTATGGAGAAAAAATGAAAGTGTGCACTACATGTGTTTTAAGGCTCTCCTACAAAGCACAATACCTTATTGGTTTTGCTGGAGACTACACCTATTTGCTTTTTTCTGCTTTGTTTTTTTGGCAACTTTCCTAGGAGGTGGCAGCAAAGACTATAGAGAAGAGGTTCACGTGATTTACATACTCTCATATCAAGAAGCGCGTGGCTTTGGCCTAATACTTGGTAGCTGACGTCAATTTATCGTTAGTTTATTTTAGTTTATTTCGGACAGGAAGCTGGACAGTTATGTCAAAATTAATTGGATTAACTTTTTTCCAAGAGACCTTACATCAAAGAAAAGACCGAGTTGCCTGTCCCTCTTCTCTATAGTCTTTGGTGGCAGGCATATGATGTCATATTTCCCAGAATGCAATGTGACAATGAACTGTCATTGGGCTATCTGTATTTAACTGATGGTCACTTCTCCCACAATGACTTGCATTTTTGACTCCCATGTGCGAAGCACAAAATGGGAGTCTTTGCAGTTAGTGTGTATGTGTGTATGTGTGTGTGTATGTGTGTATGTGTGTGTGTCCGACTGTTCCACTGCTATCTCAAGAACCATACATCGGTTTTTGATGAAACTTGGTGCATAGATGCTCTGGGCCAATGCGCAGATTTGATTAGGTTTTGGTAAAAATCCATGCTCGTTAATTACCTAATTTGCATGATAATTAGCTAATTTTTAGCTGTTCTATGACTGTTCCACTGATATCTAAAGAACCACTCATTGGATTTTGATGAAACTTGGTACATAGATGCTCTGAACATATGCGCAGATTTGATTAATTTTTGGTAAAAATCTGTGCATATTAATTACCTAATTTGCATGATAATTAGCTATTTTTTAGTGGTTCCATGACTGTTCCACTGATATCTAAACAACCACTCATTGGATTTTGATGAAACTTGGTACATAGATGCTCTGAACTCATGCTAGGTTTTGATTAGTTTTTGGTAATAATCCGTGGATACTAATTACCTAATTTGCATAATGATTAGTCAATTTTCGGTTTTTCCACTGATATCTCAAGTACTAATCATCACATTTCAATGAAACTTGGCACATAGATGTCATACGACACTGCGCAGATCTGATAGTTTTTATGGTAATATCAGTACATATTAATTACCTAATTTGCATAATTAATTAATTTTCAGCATTTGATATAAGTACTGTAAAGGGGGTAATTATTCACTGGGTTTTAATTTAGCTTATTTCGCTGACTGGAAAAATGCGCTAAATTAAAACACAGTGAATATGTAAAATTTAGCATAGAACACATTATCTAAATAACGAAACCATGAATTTAAAACCCACTGAATATGCCTGAAATGGTAAATCAGTGAAATTTAAACCCAGTGAAAATTAGTCATTTTACAGTAGTTAGCATTACATTTCAATGAAACTTGGTACTTACATACTCAAGGACTATGCAGAGATTGATTGTTTTCGATAAATATTTGTGCATATTAATCACCTAGTTTGCATAATTAGTTAATTTTCAGCTTTTCCACGGGTATCTCAAGTACTAATCATCGCATTTCAATGAAACTTGGTACATAGATCCTTTAGGACTATGCAGAGACCTGATTAGTTTTAGGGTAAATAATTGTGCATATTAATTACCTAATTTGCATAATTAATTTTCAGCTTTTCTACTCATATCTAAAGTACTAATCATCACATTTCAATGAATCTAGAATTATGCAGACCCAATTAGTTTCCGGTAAATATTTGTGCATATTAATCACCTAATTTGCATAATTAACCAACTTTCACACTGATATCTCAGGTACTATACATCACATATCAATGAATGTACATGGATGCTGTAG